CGAATACATATACATAAACATAAACTATATACTATTTTAGAAGGTTTAGTTTAAAAACTTACGTTTCTAAAAATTGTATTTTAAAGAAATCATGTTTTAATTGTATTGTACTTTTATGTATGTTCTTGAAGCCCATGTGTTGTACTTGTGTTTTTACCTTTTCAATTTCCAATAAAGATTATTGAGACTAAAAAACAATGTTTTTAAAAAAAATTATATACACTGTAAACACTAAAAGCATTTTATATTTTTATAATCAGTTTACACTCACTGCCATGGAAGATGACAGAGTACTCCTGATATGTACCCGTTAATAAAGACGTGTACTGTCACAGTTCTCCTCTTAGGCACGCTGAACATATGCACACATGTCTAAACTTTGCATCATCTCTTGTTTAGAGATGCTCCTACTAATCGTACTAACTGGGGTCACTTGTGCAGATTTGTTCCCTTTTCATGGGTTCGGCACTTTAATTAGTCAGCTAGTTTAATCTGCATTTTTGAAGATAGGTAAATTTGAAGGGAGGAAGGGGGAGGAGGGGGTGAAAGAGGAATCCATTCTCCTGATTAAGGCTTTAATTTTCCCTAAACTATAATAATAATATTGTAAAAGTGAAGAACTGTTGTGATTAATATAATTATGTCAACATAACACAGAATAAAATTAACTTTTTTTTCCAGGTGATAATGCATGTAAATCGGGTTACAAAAAAAACTTTAAAAAAAATCCTAGACAGACGTTATTGTAATTAAAAGAATAAATCAATAATAAAGAAGAGACAAAAAAACCTTTTGCACAATGATGCCTCCCCTCTCTGTATCCACTAAAACCATTACACCCACAGTCCTCAGTAGAGAAGCAAACATATCATGGTAAAATTAATGATCATTTTTACAACGCTTCATTGTAGACTATAGACTTTTGCATAAAACATTCTACCTTCCTTGTGTCACAGGCGTTAGCTACTTTGTGCATAACCCATATCATATCTTCATATATTTATTTCAATGGGTGTCATATATATTACATACACAGCTGGCCAGCTGGCTGCACACTAACCCCATTAACCTGAAAGATAGTGACACGGCCGCCAGCAAATTGTGCGATCACAACTTTTTTACTTTTACATTATTTACGGTAATCTCCTGGGTGGTGTTTACAGTTGGACGCATACACACACACACACACACACATATATATATAGATATATATAATATTTATACTGTGTTTTTGTGCAACCAGCCGTTTAGTCGTTAAGATACCTATAGTTAAGATTTGGAGGTCAGCGGCAGTAGTGAGCCTGTCTGACCTTTTTAGTCCTGTCTAGGTCCTATGTCGATATATTTATAGGGCCTATAGCCTGCCAGAGGTACTGATTGACCCACCATAACCAGCACAGAAAATAAATGGACTTATTATGGTCTCCTGATGGATTAACATTCTTGAAGAATTCTCCATCTGTGTGGGAGCTTTCAACTTTGCCATTGTAGATCACTGAAAAGTTAACCCTTTCTTGACAAGACCCCACCCAACACACACACAAAAACACACACAGACCTACAAATGTGCACCTCGGTGACTGCATGGCAATCTGGAAGCATGTTAGAAGACATAAATCTACTCCATTGTGTTGTATTATTGCACTGGTTTGCTTTTTCAGCTGTTATCAGTCTCCAGACAGGAAGATGTAGGTAAGAAATCAAAGACATGTGCAAGTCGGCTAGTCGGCTGAAGGAAGCCATTCCAGCGAGGACACAAGGGTAAATCCTGCCAAACCCACTAGTTGCTTGTCTCTAAATACAGTGATGTGACCCAGTAAAGACATGCAGTGCTGAGAAATCTAAATGACTGCGCCTGTGGATTGGGTCTGCCAGTAGGGTTAGGTCATAGCCAAATGACGCTTCCATTCTGCTCATTCATCAACACAAGCGGTGCTATGGGCGGCCCAGGCATTGTAGCCATAAATCCTCTCCGTCCCTACTTATTATACAGAGGCACAGTTTTATTGTAAGGGGATTTGTCAGCAAAGATTCAGTATCCATACATGTACACCTCGCCTCATTCCCTGCTGGAACATCATGTAATACCGGTCTTACAGATGAATGTGGAATTGTCCTCTTGTAAAGCCCACTTCTATACAGGCCACAGGGGATTGGGAGAGTGGAAGAGGCCAGGGAGCTGCGCCTTATTTACTTTACAGCTGATTGATATGGAAATCCGCTGCACTAGTGTTTGCCTGCTCTCCATTGCCTTAACTGCACAGCTCACCTTTCTATGGCGGAGGCAAACTGCAAACTAAAGCCTGCATAGGACAAAATGAGAATGAGTTGGTTTAATGGACACGAAATCTTTTGTAAGAAGCATAAGTACGTGTACAAAATAATCATTGCAGCAATTACAGACAAGCCACTATTACATACTACAGTGGGTGCTCTGAGTACAGCAGATGGCAATGACCAAGGTGTTTTCCTATGCAGTATTCGTTCAAATAAATGCTACTAGCAACAGATAACATGTGCATGTATGTCTATGTACTGAGCATGTGTCTAAATGTGTCCAAACCATCAACACATATTCATGTATGTGCTGTCTATCTATCTATTTATCTATCTATCTATCTATCTATCTATCTATCTATCTATCTATCTATCTACCTCTATCTGTCCAAACCAGACTTCATTATATAATGCATTAAACAAGCAAAAACTAAATTAAATAGTAGAGAATCATTAAAACTTCAGATTTTTTTTGCTGTATGTATCTTTCTTTTTTCTTTCTTTCTTTCTTTCTTTCTTTCTTTCTTTCTTTCTTTCTTTCTTTCTTTCATCAACATTATCTGTACTGTATATCAGTATCTATCTATCTATCTATCTATCTATCTATCTATCTATCTATCTATCTATCTATCTTTCTATATCTGCATGACTATGTATCATCCTCCTTTAGTACATAATTTGCAACTAGTTGGTGTCAATTTGGATGCAATGTTATCAATGTAATGTTGTTTATTAATAACACAATGTGCTGTAAGACAGAACATTGTTTATTATTTATTTTAAAAAGGTATCTAATTATCTATCTATCTATCTATCTATCTATCTATCTATCTATCTATCTTTATTTGTGTAGTTTTTTTTCTTTCTTTTTTCTTTTTCCTTTCTTTCTTTCTTTCTTTCTTTCTTTCTTTCTTTCTTTCTTTCTTTCTTTCTTCTAAACACTACTATTGTTGGTGGTGGCATATCTGCTATGGGAAATTCAGTTGTACAATTTCATCTCAGGGCTTTTTCTATTTATGTCTATCTATCTATCTATCTATCTATCTATCTATCTATCTATCTATCTATCTATCTATCTATCTATCTATCTATCTATCCATCTTTATTTGTGTAGTTTTGTTCTTTCTTTTCCATCTGCTAAATATGTTGAGTGCTTAAGTATATTTTACCCTCACTATCAAACTACCTAATAACAGGGAATCTATGTAAGTTTAATTTAGTCAATTGTGCTCACAATGTATAAAACAAAATACTCATTCTTACATTTTAAAAGTCTTCCCATATACATTTCTGGGTATAATATGAAATAAAACACTTTTAATTTAAAAATAGTTTGCTTTTGGGTTTTTTATGATGAGTTCAGATGCTAGCAATTAAACGTCCCAATGTTTACGTTACTGCCTATCATAAAATACATAATTATTAATACAGTTTTAAATGTGTTTTCTCCGTG